TACTTGCAGGTCAGTGGGTACTTAACAGGCCGGGTTAGAGGTAGGGCAACTCCAGATATATTAGGCTACAACCTTATTTCGGGGTAAGTAGTATAGATCTACTACTCATCTAGATTCTTGTAGCCAGGAGGATCAAAAGTTTGCTCCGGGCTCTTGGGGATTAGGGGCCTAGCGTTTCGGGCTTCAGGGGCTTGGGGTCTGCGCTTATAGGGTTGATCATGGGTTCCCCTATCCCCCCCCTCTATACTACCCCCCCCCCTTGGTTCCCTTTTGTAACCTTAATTCGGCTTAGTTATCCGAAATAACTTTAATGAGGGGCGGAACCCAGGGAGGGGGGGAGGAAGGGGAACCCATGCTCTTAGGGTATGGTAATGCAGGGTTGGGGTCTGCGAAGTGAAAAGCTTAACACGCCGCATCCTTCAAAATCGAACACCTGAAACCTTTAAACCCTAAACCCTAAAGCCTTGAAGCCCCAAACCCTAAAACCCTTGAAGCCCCTAACCCTGAAACCTTCAAACCCTAAACCCTAAAATCTTGAAGCCCTAAACCCTGAAACCCGTAAACCCTCAACCCTGAAACCTTGAAGCCCTAAACCAAGTATCCTGTAACCCCGTAACCTTGACACCTTTAAGCCTAAGCCTTGAAACCAATAAACTACAAACCATACAAACTTGGAACCCTAGATCTCTAATCCCCTCCCCCTAATATTAAGCCACCCCCCCCCCCCCGGCCACCCCCTAATATGAAATGCTCAGAATTATGGTTCTATTACAGTTTATGGAGGGGGCGGGGGGCATGTATATATCAGGGGGGTAGGGGGGGATTAAACCTTCAAACCCGTAACCCTACCCCCACAAGGGGGGCTGGTTAAGGCTTCGGGATTCGGGTGTATGACCAGTCAGGGTTTACGGCATATGATATTCATATAGGCAGGGGTTTGAAGCTTACGGTCAGGGATTAAGGTAGTGCTTCGGGCTTTAGGCTTTCGTTTGGCCGACTTCGCTCTCAGCAAGCATACACTCTCGTAGTGGCCCTCGGAAGATGCACGCATGAGAGCGGTCTTCCCGGAATTGTCCCGCACGTTCTTGTCGGCACCAGCTTCCAGCAGCAAACGTACAATCCCGTCGTGGCCCTTGGAGCAGGCGCGAATGAGAGCGGTCTTGCCGGACTTGTCCTGCAAGTACGTGTCGGCACCAACGTCCAGCAGCAAACGTACAATCTCGATATGGCCCTTGGAAGATGCGCGCATGAGAGTGGTCTGGCCGGACTCGTCCTGCGAGTTCTTGTCGGCACCAGCTTCCAGCAGCAAACGTGCAGTCTCGGCGTGCCTTTTGAACGGTGCGTGCTTGGATGCGGCGATCAGCCGAGAACATAAATGTTCAAGGGCTTCGGGGATGCCTTCGGGAGATGTATGCATGAGGGCGGTCTTGCCAGACTCGTCACGCAAGTTCTCGTCGGCCCCAGCTTGCAGCAACAAACGTACGATCTCGACGTGGCCCCAAGGAGATGCGCACATGAGAGCGGTCTTGCCGGACTTGTCCTGCAAGTTCTTGTCGGCAGAAGTGTCCAGCAGCAAACCTACAATCTCGACGTGGCCTTCGCCAGTAGAACAGGCGCGCATGAGAGCGGTCTCGCCAGACTTGTCCTGCACGTTCTTGTTGGCACCAGCTTCCAACAGCAAACGTACACTCTCGACGTGACCCTTGGAACAGGCACGAATGAGAGCGGTCTTCCCGGAATTGTCCCGCACGTTCTTGTCGGCACCAGCTTCCAGCAGCAAACGTACAATCCCGTCGTGGCCCTTGGAGCAGGCGCGAATGAGAGCGGTCTTCCCGGACTTGTCCTGCAAGTTTGTGTCGGCACCAGCGTCCAACAGCAGCCGTACAATGTCGACATGGCCATTGGAGCATGCGAGCCCGAGAGAGGTCTCGCCGGACTCGTCCTGCAAGCTCTTATCGGCACCAGCATCCAAGAGCAAACGTACCAACTCGATGTGACCCTCGAAAGAGGCATGCATCAGAGCAGTCTGGCCGGAGTCGTCCTGCAAGTTTGTGTCGGAGTCAGCGTCCAGCAGCAACCGAACAATGTCGACGTGGCCCTGGGAACAGGGGAGCACGAGAGCGGTCCCGGACTCGTCCTGATAGTTCTTGTCGGCACCAGCATCCAAGAGCAAACGTACCAACTCGATGTGGCCCTCGAAAGATGCATCCAGCAGAGCAATCTGGCCGGAATCGTCCTGCAGGTTTGTGTCGGTGCCAGGCTCCAGCAGCAAACGTACAATGTCGACGTGGCCCTTGGAACACGCGAGCCCGATAGCGGTCTCGCCGGACTCGTCCTGCAAGCTCTTATCGGCACCAGCATCCAAGAGCAAACGTACCAACTCGTTGTGACCCTCGAAAGATGCATGCATTAGAGCAGTCTGGCCGGAGTCGTCCTCCAAGTTTGTGTCGGCGCCAGTAGCCAGCAACAAACGTACAATGTCGACGTGGCCCTTGGAACAGGCGAGCACGAGAGCGGTCTTGTCGGACTCGTCCTGCAGGTTCTCCTCGGCACCCACATCCAAAAGCAAGCGTACGAACTCAATGTGGCCCTCGAAAGATGCATGCATCAGAGCAGTCTGGCCGGAATCGTCTTGCAAGTCTGTGTCGGCACCAGCAGCCAAGAGCAAATGTACAAACTCGATGTGGCCCTCGAAAAATGCATGCATGAGAGCAGTCTGGCCGGAATCGTCCTCCAAGTTCTCGTCGACACCAGCGGCCAGCAGCATGCGGCCCACTTCCACCTGGCCTCTATCGGCAGCACACTCAAGCAACTCACGCTCAGCCTCAGGCATCTGCTCCGGGCTTAGGGCGGACAACAGCACCAGCTGCAAATCAGCGGGCCCAGCTAGAGGAGCACCATCCTCCAAGCAACGGCCATTCTGTAGTAGCTGTTGAAGGCAGACTGGGAAGCCATGCTGGCTTCGCAAGTTGCGTTTCAAGTCGATCACCTGTTCCTGTTCAACTGTGCCGCCCAGCGGCACCGCGGCCAGCTCTCGCCCAGAAACGCTCCAGACACGCAGCATACTATTGGGGCCTCAATAACTTGAATTTTATGGGTTTATTATCGTACAATTACATAGAGAGCATAGAGAATACTACTAGCAACTATTCCACTTCTACAAACGAGCCAAGGATGAAGCTAAGCGCGAGTATCCAGGCTGGCGTCTGAGCTTTTGGTCTCGGAACCTTGTTGAAACAGTACATGCCATGATGGGAAGACATGGTGAACATCCCTTGGCAGTCCCTCGCGATCATCTTGGAGCCAATAGAAAGAGGGCCTGCTGGACTTCAAACCCCTTACCCCGCGTTCTTCGCCCTAAACCCTAAACCCTAAACCCTAAACTTTAAACCCTAAACCCTAAACCCTAAACTAAACTCTAAACCCTAAACCCTGAAACCCAGGCCGTGCATCCTGAGCTAGCTCCTGGGGTCTCGGGCTTAGTGTATGGGGATCTTTTGGTTCTTGGGGTTTGGGGTTGGGGTGTAGGGTTTAGGGTTTAGGGTTTAGGGTTTAGGGTTTAGGGTTTAGGGTTTAGGGTTTAGGGTTTAGGGTTTAGGGTTTAGGGTTTAGGGTTTAGGGTTTAGGGTTTAGGGTTTACGGTTTAGGTCTAGGGTTTAGGGTTTAGGGTCCAGGGTTTGGGGGTTTGGGGATCTTAGACATCTTGGGTCTCAAGGTTCCTGGTTTAGGGATTTCAGTGTTTTAGGGATCTCATGACTTTAAGGGTTCAGGGTTTAGGGGGTTTCGGGGTTGAGGGGTTTAAGGGTTTGCTTTAGGAGTTTTGGGGGCCCAAGGCCCCCGGCCGGAAGCTTGGCGGAGGCCACCGCTGTGACTGTCAGCCACAGCGTCCTCAGCTTAGAGGGTTCTTAAGGGGGGGGGGGGGGGGGGGTTTCAAGGGGGGGTAGGTAACCCAACATTCCCGAATGCTCCCCACTACTCCCCAAGGCTCCCTAAGCTCCTCTAAGGTTCCCTTCCCTAGGTATCCGAAACCCTAAACCCTAAACCCTAAACCCTAAACCCTAAAAACCCTAAAGCCTCCCTCCCTTAAGAACCCTATAATCATGGAGGGGCCACTCAAAAAGCCCTAAAGCCCTGCGTGGATGTGTTTAGGGGTTTAGGGGCTTAGGGGCTTAGAAGTAGGATCCCCAGAAGGGTGGCCAGAGCAAAGCAGCCCAAACCCTGAACCCTAAACCCTAAACCCTAAGCCCTTACGTTTTCTGCAGCTTGGGGCTGGGAATCGGTGTTCAGGGTTTAGGGGGGAGAAATCGGTGCAAGCTCAGGGAATCTCTCCCCAGTGCACGGCGGTAAAGCTACTCGTCCCCTTAGCGTTCACCCCTAAACCCCATACCTTGGGAGTATCTATACTTGCCGACCAATAAGCCACCTCTTGAGGTCTGAAAGAAAGAAGGGCAGCATTTCTGCCTGTTGCCACCGCGGCGAGACATGCAATGCATGCTGGAGGACAACACTTCAAGGGTTTACTTAGGGCTTAGGAAAAGTTAGGGTTTAGGGTTTAGGGCTAGAGGTAGGGTAACTCTGGTTCTTTCTGGTTATATATAACCTCACTTAGGGTACTGAGAAGCCCTACTTACAAGCACCCATGAACCTCCAAGTAGGGTTCAGGCATGAATGTTTAGGGCGTATATCGGGCGTGTGGAGGGTCGATGAGGAAGGCTTCCTTTTCAGGCAACACCTTCCGCTGTTGCTTCTTGATGTTGTCATTGTAGTCCCCCACTTTCCCTTCAATCTTGCGCTTCTTGTCGCCACCGCCAAGACCATTGGTGAAGATGTGAGCCGAAGCACCACGAGGGGCCATGATAAAGAAGTTTGCCTCATCATCTTCAAGCACATCGTTGTTATCGCCGAGGCGGATGTCTTCGGCTTTAAGGTTGGGCTCTTCTGGGGGGCTTAGCACTGAGGAAGTAGCTGAGGAAGACCCCTTTGTCCCAAGCCCTGAAGCCCAAACCCCTAAAGCCATCAACGCAAACACCTGCGGAACCCGAGCCTAAGCGTGATTAGGGGAACGCAGCCGGGGATGATCATGTGCACAGCCAAGGGTCTGCGGCGCAGCAAACTGGAAGCTGTGCTGCAGAGCTTCGAGGAAGGAGCCTGAGTCTGGACGTTTTGGCGGTTAGGGCTTAGAGTTTAGGGTTGGTTTAGAGTTTAGAGTTTAGGGTTTAGAGTTTAGGGTTTAGGGCTTACATCGCCTGCAGTATTCATAAGGGTTTGTGTCACAAGGGCAAAGCATAGGGGGGTGCACTTGGAGGTTCGGGTATAACCATACTTACCCAGAACCCTACACCCTAAACTCTAAGTAAGGTTATAACCGTAGCTTCTACTTATAACCTTACTTCTAAATACCCATATGACATCAAAAATCTTTCGCACGCCATGCACCTACACACCAAAGCTGCTACACCCAAACCCGACACAAAAGAAACTAAACTCTCAAGCCTAACCACAAGTTGACTCAAGGCTGCGTGGCCTCGAACCCAAAACCCTAGCCACAAGTTGACTCGAGACCCTGTGCCCTCAAACCCGAACCCTAAACCGCAGACGGGCGGCGCAGACTCTCTCCGAAGGCTTCGACACCCCTCTGGGGAGAATCCCCTGCCGAGGCGCGTACACTAAGCACTAAGCTAAACCCTGCTAGCCCCTAAACTTACAACTGCTGACTCTGTATCTTCTTAAACTCCAACACCCGAACCCTGAACCCTCGGGGTAGAAGTTCAGGACCGGGGGTTGGGTTGAAGATGCATCGGGCGCCTGGTGGATACTGCATGTCCCAAATTCCGAAACTGAGCACGAGGACGTCTGGCCTCGGCACCGCTGACCATAGACAAGACGGTTGAGGGCTATGTTTCGATGTGCAAGCACACATACATACACACATACATACATATATATATATACATATGAGGTCCGGCGCAAGGCCTAAAGAGCCAGCCCCAGCAACACAACGACCAGCAACAACAACAACAAAAAACAACGACGCACAACGACGAAAGCGAGGACGAAGTGCCACACACCACTGCCGCTGTGCGAGATCTGCCGTGCCGGGCATATAGGTTCTGCTCGCACCGCTCGCCCTGCGACTTCGCACTTCCGGCCGACGCCTCCCGACCTCGGTCGCCGACGCCTGCAGCAGCCTGCGGGGAGCGGCGTCTGGAGTAATTAAACCCTACTCCCGCCGCTCCAGACCCGACTCCCGCTGCCCCAGAGGCCTGCCATGAACGGCCGCCTGGTTCTCTTCTGTCATCAAAAGCAGCTCGCCTTCCTCGGTGGGGACGCGAGCCCATGGAGCAAATGCCGAAAAACGGAAAGCTTTGCAAGGACAGGAGCCGCCGGCCTCGTCCACGAGCCCGGGGAATCGGCTGCAAAAGTGCCGCATGAACCACGATCGCCGCGACTCGCGATCTTCAGGGCCGCAAGCATCACGCCAGGCCGCCTAGACGGACGCGGAGCACGCGAATCTGGAAAAGAGGCAGGCCAAGCTGCGAAACCTGTATCATCTGCCAAAACCAGCCCTGCTGAGCACGAGTGTCGTCGCGGCAGCGCGCAGTCCTGGAGCGCAGGGCACGAGCAACGACAGCCAACTGCAAGCCTGGCTGCCTGGCACAGCTGTCTGGGATGGGCACGCTCGCGATGAAGCCTTATAGACTTCCGAGCTTTCCGTGTAGAACCGTTGTTCCTCACAGTCTAACTGTTTGGAGAGCTTAGTGCAATAGAGGACCACAATGGTCCGTAGCGAGCATCGCCACCAATCCTGCTTCCTGATGTATACTGTCGGAATTCGTAGCGCTTCTCCACCCTCCCCTTCGTCGCACGCACCGTACGAGGCTAAACCAGGCTAGCCTGGTTTGCCATCTCCCATTTCAGGCTGCAATACGTCCATATTCAAGCATCGCCAGAAAGTCGTACTTCTCCAGAAACAGACTTTGCCACAAGATAGACCGTCAAAGAAATTGAACGCCGCGCTTCGAAAACAGCACCGCTACGGCTACTGTAACCAACTGGGTCTGCAAAGCACGCTGCTCACAGCGAAGATGACGAGCGAGCTGCTTGGACATGGAGATCAGCCTTGGAAGGCACTGCGCACGCGGCTCCACGGCGGAGGGACTGCTTCAGTTGGCCGACTTTGCGGCCAAACTCGCGGGCCATGGCCCGGAGCTCCGCCTTGCGGGCCAGGAAGCACCTTGCCCTGCTGCAGCTCCTCTATGCCGAGCTGCAAACCTGCCTTGCGGCCCAGAAGAAGAGTTGCCTGCTGCGATTGAGACATGACAGCGAGGGAGCCTTCCAAATTCGCACCTGGATGAAATTGCGCTTGAACTTTGCCCAATCGCTCGAGCCAAATGCAAGGCAAGCTTGCGTGGGCAAGCTCCAGGCATTGGGTCTGAAAGACTCAAGGCCGGAGGTTTGGAGGCTACAGGGCTTGAAAACTGAGGACCACTAAAGCTTGTTGGCGTAGACATGCAAGGCTCTTTGCGTCTGCCTTGAAGAGGCCATCTGCAGATCGTCCAATCGATACCACCAAGGGGCGTCGACTAGTCAGCAGCTGGCGTGGGCGCTGTTGGGCGCAGTAAGCAGCGTAGGGGGAGGTGCTGTCACCGGAACGAAGCACTGCAGCGGCAACCAGCCAGGATTTGCCTTGTCCAGGACTAGCTAGTTGCCTCTCAAGAATTTCTGCTATGGATGACTCCATCAGAGACTTCTTAAGGCCATGACATTTTTGGACAACCAAGACTTGTAAATCAAAGATTAATCTTTAAGGGTCTAAATATGGCTTCAGGTACACTCGCACAGTACAAGTACAGTTTGCAGTACGTTTTTCAAAGTACGCTACCACATATGTCAATACGATTTTGAAGTTTTCGTATACGATTCTGAACAAAAGCACAATCTCAAATACGCCCTGGAGGTCGTAATTACTTGGAACGGCACCTGAAATTGAACTTTGGCAGGGAAAGTACGATTTGAGGTAGGATTGCAAGTACGATTGCAGTGCGATTCCCAAGTACGATGTCCAGCAAGTCCCGCGCGGTCTACTGCGCCAACACGCACTGGAAATCGCACTTGGAAATTGAACTCTTGCATGGAAAGCACGAGTTCGATTCCAGGTACGGTTTGAGGTACGATTTCAAGCACGCTTGCAGGTACGATTCCCAATTACGATTTCCAGCAGGTCCCGTGTGGTCTACTGTACCGATACGCACTGGAAAGAAGCGTACCTGAGATTGAACTTTTGCAGGGAAAGTACGATTTCAGATAGGATTTGGGGTACGATTGCAGGCACGATTGCAAGTACGATTGCAGGTGCGATTCCCAAGTACGATTTCCAGCCTGCGGAGCTTTTTTGTAGCCCGGCGTGCCGACGGACGTGCGGCATGCTTTTGCGGCGTGACTGAGACGGGCTGGGCGTGCTTAAGGGGTGGCTCACCCTTTCTTTTTTAAGAGTTTGGATCAGATCCCTTTTCTCACACCCTCGCCGTGCAGTTGTTAGCTTTTCACTTAGCCGTTCTGCTCACACGGGCTTGCCCGCGTCTGGAAAGAAATGTATATATATATATATATATTTTTTGTTATTACATATTGATTAATTTTTATTTATATTTATATTCATATTTAAATTTATTTATATTTATACTTACTTATATTTATATTAATATGTATATTTATATTTATATTTATATTTATATTTATATTTATATTAATATTTATATTAATATTTATATTAATATTTATATTAATATTTATATTAATATTTATATTAATATGTAAATTAATATACATATCAATATTTGTATTTAAATTTATGTCCATATCTATATTTACAGCTATATTCATAAGGAAATTTATATGTAGAATTGTATTTATGTTGATATTGATATGTACATGTATATTTATGTGTATATATATATATGTATAAAATAATAAAATTTATTTGTGTTCATATTTATGTTTATATTTATATGTATATTTGTAGTTTTTTGTACATTTAGAAATGTCATCTAATTTAATTTAATTCAATTTGATGCGATTTCATTGAACTTATACAATTAAATTTAATTGAATTTAATTTATTAATTCAATTTAATTTACATACCTACATACGTTCCTAAGGGGTCATGCACCTTGTGATTACAACATACTTGGGCCCTAAAGTCTCAAAAGAGGAGACCCAAGTAGTCCCTATTGAGGCACATGGACCCTTAGGGCCTGTCTGTCCTGGTTTATGGTATAGGGCTTAGGGTTTTAGGGTTTAGGGTTTAGGGCTTATATACGCCTTATGTTCCTGCTTCAACTGCCCTGAGAACATCTTGGTAACAACCCTAAACCCTAAACCCTAAACCCTAAACCCTAAACCCACAACCCTAAACCCTAAACCCTAAGCAGCAGCCATACTACGAACCCCGCGTTGGGCGCGCGGCGGGTTTTCCCCCAAAGCTTGGAGCGCTGGGAGGTCGAAGGCCGGTTCCCAGGTGAAGGTTTTGAGCCTCCAGGTTGAGCCCTGAACCCTCAACCCTCAACCCTAAACCCTAAACCCTAAACCCTAGACCCTAAACCCTACACCCTAAACGTTAGGGTTCTGGTTTGGGTCTTGAGATTTTAGGATTTTGGGGATTCGTGGAAGTTGTCTATGTCTCTCCCCAATATTTGATAGTTCAGGAGGGTTTAGAGTTTTCAGGTTTCCACAAAAGGGTTTAGGGTAATTAGCCGTTTTTGCTAAGCAGCATCCTGAGCTTGAATAATTTGTATTCGCTCGTCTCTCAGTATTCTGAGTAAGACTTACATCAAACCTTAAGCCCGAAACCTCACCCTTAACCCTAAGCCCTAAACCCAAAACCCCCAACCCCTAACCCCTAAACCCTAAAGCCTAAACCCCTAACCCCTAAACCCTA